TACAATCTAAAATATAAAACAATAGGTTATGACATCTGGTCACCCTGTCTTGAGTAAAGGGTGGAGACTGAGCAAACCATGCATTTCCACCTGCTACCCACACATGCCCCACACTTTCTCCATTTTTCTGTGGGAAATGGAGTATTGAACACACAGAAACAACTCAACGTTTCCCTCTGCTCTCCCTGGAGTAAAGTGTATCCTATGCCCCCAAGCAGCCAAAGCACCAACAAGGTTTAACAGAGGAGAATGGAAAGCAAGCTATTCTAAATTCAGGGCCCTAGCCATGTTGTTATGGCATATCAGCATGCAAAGGGATCCTGTAGCACCTTTGAGCAAAAGACATTGTAGTTACAGCAGGTGCATCTGAGGAAACAGACCATGAAAGCTTATGCTATAACCTCGTTCGGTGAGTCAGTCAGTCTCAAAAGTGCTACAAGATCCTTTTTCATGTTGTTGCTGTGTGCCTTGGTTTCCAATTTATGGCAATCCTAAACTGTAGGATTAGCCACTGTAATTACAAATAATCCTAAATTGTAGGATTGTCCAATGTAATTACAAATAATAAAAATAAAATCATATAATAATGAATCCATAGGTGGATTTTTGTTTGTTTGTTTATATATTATGTTTACAATAGTAATGTGAAAATTGTAAAAGAGAACGCCCTATATACAGTAGTAATAGAAATCCTAAGTATTGTGCAGTGCACAGTATCAGCCACCAGGTGGCGCTGCTTCCATTAGCTTTTAGATAATTTCAGGCAGAGAAATAATAGATATTTTAGATAAAAACACATTTAAGAATTTAGGAAGCTGCCTTAGGCCTCTTTTCTACTACATAATTACATAACATTTTGATAGCACCTTAAGTGCTGTAGCTCCAACATAATCATGGGATTATGGAAGAGATCTGCCAAGGCAGCATAGTGTAGTGGTTTGAATGTTGGATTACTACTCTGGAGATCAGGGTTCAAATCCCCGCTCAGCCATGGAAACTGAGTGGGTGGCCTTGGGCAATCCACACACACTCAGCCTCAGAGGAAGGCAATGGTGAACCTCCTTTGGACAAATCTTGCCAAGGAAACCCATGCCTTAGGATCTCCATTTGCATCATGAACCTACAAATCCCAGGATTCTGTAGCAGGCAGAGAGAGCAGTTGAATGGTATTGAAGTAAGTTCCCCATGGTATCTGTTCTTCTATGGGATGTCCTGTATTAAGATGCTTGAGATTTAGCCATGTATTGGGTCATTGGAAGGCCCCTAATTCTGAATTTCTTGATTGGTTGAGAGCAAGTGGCAACCGTGCTCCCAAGAGACCAACTCCGGTGTTTGGTACACAGCAAAATGGCCTCACCTACCAAATGCTGGAGTTACACCAGCTGGGATCACCAGTTGCACCAGCAAGGCAGAACGTCCCCAAGTCATGCCTCAGGTGCTTCTCTCTCAACCACCTGTAGTGCCAAGAGTAGGCAGAGTGGGTGAATCATAGAATCATAGAGTTGGAAGAGACCACAAGGGCCATCCAGTCCAACCCCCTGCAATGCAGGAACTCAAAATCAAACCATCCCCGACAGACATCATTTCACTATGCCCTTGTATTTAATGGTACTTGGAGAATCCATGGATTTTGGCATGCATGGATGCCAGCTCTTCTTGCAACAAATTGGTCCTTGTCCATTTTGCAAACACTCGGGGGAGAGTTGTCCATTGTGAGCATGGCACAACCTCTAACATTTCACCAGGGAAGTTTTGGAGACATGTGGCCAAGCAACATCAGAATGTGGCCAAGACGGAAAAAGTTATTAAGGAGGAAGGTAAGGTAAGGTAAGGTAAGAGAGGTGCAGCCCTTTGCTTTTGCCTAAGCCTACAGCTACTGAGGCAAGGGGAGGCCATTGTACACACACTGACCCATCTCTTTAACTTAGGATCTCAACCGATATCAGCATGACCACAAACCCTCCTTTTCCAAGATGTGTCCTACATTTCAACCTTTTGTCCAGGAGGTATTCCAAAACATCCTCAATTTTGAGCATGAATAATAATAATAATAATAATAATAATAATAATAATAATAATAATAATACTTTATTTATATAGCGCTGTATATAAAGCGCTGTACATACAATCAATAAAATATTGTATAGACAAACTAAATAAAGATAAGCCTGCCAATGGCATACATTCTACAAAATAATAAAATAATACATATTAATACAAAGGAGGCAACAAATTAAAACATCAAATAATAATCAGGCAATGCCTAAGAAGCATGCATTTCTATTTATACTGATTTTTTTTTAGCTTTTAGTTTGGAATGTCCTCCATTTCTTTTCTTGACTGTTCTACATTTGACAGTGCTTTGTCCTCTTTTGTGGTTAGGACACTCTGATCAATATGGTTAGGCTGGTCCTGATCCAGGAGGAACAGCAGCCAACAAGGGTGTAGGTGAGTTACTTCTGTCCAAAGCTGCTGCTATTGCAAAGAAACCAAGGACAGGTCTGGTTGTTGTGTGCTTCCAAGTTGTTTCCAACTTATGGCAACCCTAAGGCGAACCTGCCATGACCTTTTCTTGGGAAGATTTTTTCAGGGGAGGTTGGCCGTTGCCTTCATCTGAGGATGAGAGAGTGTGATATGCCAGTGGATTTACACAGCAAGCTGTGAATGGAACCCTGGTCTCAGAGTCACAGTCCAACATTCAAACCACCATGCCATGTTGGCTCCTTTTTTGTTATCATTGTTGCTGTTGTTGTGTGACTTCAAGTCATTTCTGACTTATAGCAACCCTAAAGTGATCCTATCATGGGGTTTTCTTGGCAAGATTTGTTCCGAGGAGGTTGGCCATTGCCTTCCTCTGAGGCTGAGAGAGTGTGACTTACCCAAGGTCACCCAGTGGGTTTTATGGCCAAGTTGGAAATAGAACCCTGGTTTCCAGAGACACAGTCCAATGCTCAACCCTGGCTCTAAGGGCAGGTCTTGTTGGGGGATTTTGCAACTCAAGCATGCTGAGTCTTTCTAAGAACATAGATGCATGTTTATGATAGTTTATTGTATTATGACTCCTCATTTCCTCCTTCTTTAAGAGCACACTTTTCTTTGTCTCTGGAGAGATTGCCATTACCTTTCTTCTTCTTCTTTGTCCTTTGTCGCAAACAGCATGACTTTCTAGCACGCTGATAAGAAGCTTTCTTTGCAAGCATGTAGACTACTTTTTACCTCATTTTCTTTGCAACATGAAGCTTTACCTGTGTATGAATATGCACATGATTTTGTAAGTAAATTTACCTTTTTATATTACTTTGTCTAAGGATTTTGTCTTAGTTCTTTATTGGAAGACACATGGCGGCTCGGAGAATAAAAAGTGGACTAGTTTGATTTTCTGCTCATGCACTTTTCTGCTGTGTTTACTTTACTGGTGAGATTAAATCAATCTCTCCTGTTTTCCTGAGCTTTCTAATGAAGCTCAAGAAAAATCCCATCACGTCTACCCTAGGCAAAATAATCCGGCCACTCCCAGAGAATCTGGCCCCAAAGCTGACCTAAATCCACCCTACCCCATTATTTCTACACTCTGGAGCAATGCCAGGTTGCCGTTTACATAGCATCCTGCTGTGCCACCCACCACCACTTGCACTGGTGTGAACCAATATTTCTGAGCTCAAAAAGAAGGTATCCACACATGACTGGGCACCTTGTTGTGATCTCATAGGGAGCAACCTGTGCTAGCAGCTGTGGTGCCAAGTGGCATAGCAGGATGGTGTATAAACAGCTGCCCAACATCGCTCCGGAGCCCTATGGAATTTCTTGGAAAATTGGGAGCAAAATGTGTTTTTTAAAACCAGTTTAATGCAGGGATGGCCTGGATTGAATGTGGAACTGTCCTTACATTGGGAAGAGAGTCTGCAGTCGAATCAGGGCTTTAGCCCTGTGTCATGGAAACAGGTTACAGCAAGGCCGAGGGGAAACTGGTTCATTTGGCCCATGTAAACATGCCCCCTATTTCAAGACTAGAATGTGGATCAGCCATGTAAAAAGTGGATGACCTTGGACAAGTCACTTCTCTCAGCCTCAGGGGAAAGCAATGGCAAACCTCCTCTGATGGTGGGCCAGTTTGCCTCTTCTGGAGCGCAATCCAAGTGGAAGAGGACTTCTTTCCAGCCATTTCTTCATTAGGAGGAAGCAAGATGGATCCATTCAGGTGATGCCTTAAGTGCTGCTCTGACTGATCTTCCCAATTCTGCACTGCATATGTTTCATTTGAGTCCCTATTTGCTAATTGTCTCATTAGATCTAAACAGAAAGCATATTTGGGAACCGGAGAGAGAGACATTGTACAAGTGAGAAATGCAAAGTGCAGTGGCATGGCATGTCCTGGCTAGGTTGAGGAGGGCTTGAGCAAAACATTGTGTCCCCTACTCCAAGGCCAGATTATCCATGGTGTAAAATGGAGACAGTGTCCTAGGGATCTTGAGGATTAGGGACCCAAGCTACTCCTGATGCAACTGCACACAGGTACAGGCATACCTCAAATAACAAATACCAGGCGTTGCATAGACCACTTACTTGCCACAAAATACTGGGAACCAAGGATGATGGGTTATAGAATAAATTTGGTATTGCTGGGTCATGGTGGTCTCATCTTCAGGTGCTGAGAAAATACCAGAAAGGAGGTAGGCAAGAACCAAGCCTGTTTAAGGTCATTTCTGTGAAAGGATTCTGTTGTAGCAACAAAGAAAAAAATGGGGGGGGGGGGAGTATGGGAAAGTGTGGTGAAGTGTGTTTATTGATTATATCGAATAAGAATTAAGCCTGCCTGAAATTTGAAATGATGTGTAGCTTAATTGGTTAATTTTAACTCTTGCAGGTCATTCCTCACAATGCACGTCATTGGACTGGATCTATAGTTTATTAATAAAGGTTTTCTGAGTCTGAACGACCAAAGCCTGATTTTTCTGAACTTGACAGTAGAGCATATGACAGTGAAACTCTTTTTTATATAGGCCTTTTACACCCGGCCAGTCCCCCTGCTTTTTCTTACTCATTCTCTGTCTAGCTGGTAGTTTTCTTAGCAGCATCTGCATTGGGAGAATGGTGAAGGAAGGCAGGAGAAACCCAGATTTTTGGTGCAGCTGCATGTGTGCAGTAAGCATTGCAATAAAGAAGGCTTGAGCTGGGAAAGAATGGGGTTCTACTTTAGATGATTTTGTAGCTGTGTGTGCCTGGTTATGACAGGCAAGGTGAACAGCAGCAGCTGCTTCCATAATCCATTCCATGAGCAGCAAAACAAAGATAAAAGGGGAGCCGTGATAAGCCTGTCTTACCAGCTTCCCCCCAGTATGTTAAAAAAAATTAATTTAAATTTTGGCCACAAAATGGAAATCATAAGAAAAGTAGAGGATGGTAAAAGAAAAGGGGAAAAACACATTCCTGGATGCATTTTGGAAGAAGCTTTCAAGTGGTCTCTAGATGGTTCAAAATTATTTTTGGTTTACTTATTCAATGTTTATCTGATCAGGTTTGTTTTCTTTTACATGTAAACAGCTTTGGTTAAGAAGTTTGGTGAAACATATTGAACTGCTTTTTTTTTTTGGTGGTGGTGGTTCAGGAATATTTCTCTACTCTTTCTGGGTTATTGGAATATTCCAATTGATATCACAACTGAAATATCACACTGGCGTCTGCCACACTGCAATATTAATCTAATCTGACACCACCTTAACTGTCATGGCTCCATCCTATGGAATCCTGGGGATTTGTAGTTTGTTGTGGCTTTTCTGATAGAAAAGTTAAATATCTCACTAAACTACAAATCCCAGCATTGAGCACTGAGCCATGCCTTTTCTCCCAAAGCTGGGATTCTTTTTATTGAGCATTGGGTTGCACATCAGGTAGCTTGGCTGAATTGTGCAATTTTGCTATCCAACACAAGGGTTTCATAACTTGGCATGGAGAAATTGGTCCTAAATTACATGGCCCTGTTCAACATCCCAT